TATTGCAGGTGGTGTCTTACTGGTACCCCTCTTCAGGTATGGCAGCAGCAAAGAATTCTGGCATTAGTTGAACAAATGCCCTAGTAATGTTTTCCTGATTGGTAATAAACCACTAGCTATTGTCTAGCATGTATCAATTAAAGTCATTATCAATTATTGCAGAACAAGTTGGAAGACCTTTATAGCCTACTTTGCTTCTTGCATGTTGAACCATGGTGCAACTGGGCCTGGTGAGCTTAATTTTTTTTGGATGATTTTATGGCTGATGCTTGGGATGATTGAAAAACAAAGTGTTACTATTCAGTTTTTGCGTTACATTTCCCAGGAAAATTGTTCAAAGAGTTAAAGATGGTCGAATCTTTTTTTTTGTTGTTTATTATTATTTTTTTAATCAAACATTATAATGCAAATGAGCCGGTTCCCTCGCTCTTCCCATTTGCTGAAATTTGTTACTGCTTATAGGTGGCAAAAACTGATTCAGAAGCCATATGAGAGTGGTGATTATAGAGGGATGAAACTGATCAAGGCTATTTTGAGGCCACTAATGCTGAGGCGAACAAAGGATTCAAAAGACAAAGAAGGAAGGTAAATTGAGCCCTACGCCACCTGCTTTTGGTTCTCTTAGACTGGACCTGTTTTTATATTTGTGACAATTTCATGCTCTATGCCTCCATCATCAGGCCTATACTGGTTCTGCCCCCGACGGATATCAAAATTATAGAGTGTGAACAATCAGAAGCTGAGCATGATTTCTATGATGCCCTCTTTAGGAGATCTAAGGTGAGCTTAGTGTTACTCATGCAGCAACGGAGATTGTCTGTCACATTAGGACCTCTAATTAGTTATTTGTGGTTGACTATTCGAGTTCTCTTAACTAAATATCGTTTAAAAATAAGCTAAGTATTGTTAATTTAGACATTGCATAGTTTTTTTTGTCTTTGGATAGGATTTTCATAAAATTTTGCAATATGGACAGGTTCAATTTGACCAGTTTGTAGCACAAGGCAAAGTTCTTCACAACTATGCAAACATCCTTGAGTTGTTACTTCGATTAAGGCAATGTTGCAACCACCCCTTTCTTGTGATGAGGTGAGAATGGTGTCTTAATCCGTTTACCTTTCAAGGATGAACTTGCCTCTTGCAGTTCGTCTTATCTGACAATTTCAAACTTCTACCGTTGGCAGCCGGAGTGATACACAAGAATTTGCAGACCTGAATAAGCTTGCTAGAAGGTTCCTTGACACAAATCCTGATTCTGCAACTCAGAAGATCCCTTCTAGAGCATATGTTGAGGAGGTTGTTGAAGGTATTCGGAAAGGTGAAAATGCAGAGTGCCCCATATGCCTGGAGTCTGCAGATGACCCTGTGCTCACACCATGCGCACATAGAATGTGCAGAGAATGTCTTCTGTCAAGCTGGCGATCTCCAACAGCTGGGGCATGCCCAATTTGCAGGCAAGTGTTTAAAAAGACTGAGATAATCACCTGTCCGTCTGAGAATCGGTTCAGAGTTGATGTTGAGAAGAACTGGAAGGAGTCTTCAAAGGTCTCAAAGCTCTTGGATTGCTTGGAACGGCTAAGGAAGTCAGGTTCTGGGGAGAAAAGCATCGTTTTTAGCCAGTGGACCTCATTTCTAGACTTGTTGGAGATACCTTTGAAAAGGAGAAGAATTGGGTTCTTGAGATTTGATGGAAGATTGTCTCAGAAGCAGAGAGAAATCGTTTTGAGGGAGTTCAGTGAAACTGGAGAGAAGATGGTAAGCATTTCTTGCTTGCTGTCATCAAATTCAAGATGAGCACAATGCACTTGATCCTTCAATCAGACATTGCTGGATCTAAAATTTGTTTCAATGTTCTTCAGGTGTTACTGATGTCACTGAAAGCAGGTGGCGTAGGCCTCAATTTAACTGCAGCTTCTAATGTGTTTCTTATGGTAAATTCCTTGTTTCTCTCCTTTTTTTTTTTTTTTTTTAATTCTGCGGTGTGATAGTTCTTGAATGGCATCTGAACCTATCAATCAAATACAGGATCCATGGTGGAATCCTGCAGTGGAGGAGCAAGCAATCATGCGTATCCACCGCATTGGTCAAAAGAGGACCGTTCGAGTTAGAAGATTTATAGTCAAGGTAAAACGCCTCCTCCTGCATATGTTTCCTCAAAGAGCATCTAAATCATTGATTGGCCTTTTTTTTTTCTCAAATCTGGTCACAATTCTAATCAAAGGTTTGGGATTCAAGAAATCCAATCCTGATTACAGCATTTGACTATTCAAGCAAAAATTAGATGCCAATTGGCGTTTCTATTCTTGCAGGATTTGTGTAAATTATAGGAAGATTAGGCAGTTTGTGACTCTAGTGTAGAATAAGAGCATGGTTAAAGAAGCTCATATATGTCCAACGTTCTGCATTTTAGTCATGTCCATCTTCATGGACTATTTTAGGCTAAGGCCAAATAGAAAACAACCCTGCCTGAACTGGTCAATCATTAGTGAATTTTCAAATCTTGACATTGGCCTCTTTTTTTTCTTTTACCAGAAACCAAATGAACATACAAAGAACTGACAAACTAAAATAAGGATAATCTCCTCTACTACCTTGCTTAAAGTCAAATTACTGTCCTCACTGATCCTATTTTTTTTTCCTTCTTTCCATTTCTATGCTGAATTATTTGACTTAGGACCACCGCCACATGGCTGATGGCTTGAAATGTATGCAGGGGACGGTGGAAGAACGGTTGCAACAAGTCCAAGCTAGGAAACAAAGAATGATCGCCGGAGCCCTCACCGACGAGGAAGTCCGGTCGGCGAGGATCGAAGAACTCAAGATGCTCTTCCGTTGAATAGTTGTCTTAAACCTTAATTTTGTGAATACTGCTAATCATGGAAGGGAATCAAATCAAATTATGCTATGCTAGAATTAAATAGAGGGCTAGAAGACTTTTCTTCTTGGCATGAAAAAAGCCAATTTCACGGCCTCAAATTTTGTTTAAAAAAAGTCCAAGATTAGCAGCAATACATTCTTGATTTGATTCTCCCCCTTTTGTTTATGTCATCTTAGTCCATCCAACCACAATATTCCTTGTCAAAGGCGGTTCAAAAGTAGTATTCATTTTTGACTGGCTCTAGAATGAAAGTTCAATTGCTATGCTTGCTTGAGGAAATGAAATGAAATTAAAAAATAAAATTAAAAAAGAAAAGGGATGAAAGTTCAATATCAGAATATTCTAGATCCAAATGACTATTCTAGCCTCAAAACCAGCAAATCTCGACAACAAACAAATGGCCCATAGGATAGGATAAATTTACTTGGTCCTCCGGGGGCCTATTAGACGCCACAAAAGTCAGAAGAAGACAATAGAGACAGCAAAGGAAGAAATGGAAAAAAGGGCAAAAAGACGGCCTCAATCCAACGTGCGTTTCTGACAAAGAACCTTTGAATTGCTTTTATGGGATTAGGAAGGGCCACGTAAATTCGATCGTGGCCGTTGGACTAATGAACAGAACAGAAGACTATGATGACACGTGGGTTCAGTTGAGTGGCTAGGAGGTGATGCGACCTGTCCGTCACCGTCAGAGATAGATGGGTGTGGGTAAATTGAGAAATGGGCTTCTTCTTCCGTGAGCGGTGGTCCGTTGAAATTGACGGCGGGAGGCGGTGGAAGATTAGATTAAACAAAAGCGGACAGTCAACAGTAGTTGCAGAGATCTGGTTTGGTCTTTGACGCAACGTTTTAGCCTTTCGGTTGGAAAGTAGTTATGATACAAGTTGGGTTGGTTGGCTTTGCTCACCAGCTCTAAGCTTGGCTTAGTTTGGCTTTGCCAAGGACCCTAAGTTCCATAGTTGCAATGTTTAAAATTAATGACCAAACATCTTAGTATCATAAAGATAATAAAATGTGATTTGAGCCACAGGTGAGGATAAATTGGACAACAAAATTAGCATGAAGAAGCCAAACGAAAGATAGTCACGCACTAATTATTGTGAGCGGAGATTCCCCTCTATCTTTTGCTCATTTTGTACTGCACTTGCTTGCCGTGAATCTTTCTTAATAACATAAACTGTATATGTTTCTATCAAAAAAATAAATAAAATTAGGAGTTAGAATTTAAGAGTTTGAAGTTTCACTATGATTTGTAATTATAAAATGGAAACCAACAAACATGGCAGAATGAAACTCTCGTAACAAGAACGAAGGAAGAAAAGTAATTGGACACAACATTTGTTCTTGGTACATCATACTTATATAATTAAATTCACTTGAGGCACAAAAAAAAAAAGAAAAAGCTAGGCAATTCTTTCCATAGAATTTGGATTTATTATTATTCACTTTTCTCTAATTATCTGTCAATTTGACGATATTTGCATCATCAATATTATTGTAAATTTAATAATAGCATCTCATTGGTTTCAAGTTTATTAATACATCCCTATGTTTAAAAAAATCAGCTATCATTTTGCTTTTTTAAATTGATGGTGTAGATACCATCTTAATTTTGAAACACAAAACATACAAATTTTGTAACCAAACAGTAGTGACTTTTTTTAATGTAATTTTGTGTCAACCATAGAATTAATTGTGAACCGTTTTGACATTTAACATGTTAGAATTTTAATTTTATTTAAGATTCCTCCATTATCCTTAGATGGACAATAATATCCTATTGCTTTTCTGCCTTAGCTGCTTCCATATGAATAAGGGGTGAATAATAACTATGGAGAAAATCCGGAGTTGATAACTCTTTATTAAGAAGTAAAATTCAAAATCAGCTCAAGCTAAGCCGAGCCGTTTTACAACAAGCAGAAAATTTCTCCCCTTCTCTCTTTTTCTCCCTTTGATTGAATCTACTTACTTAAGTTACAACTGCACGCCCTCACCAACAGCGTGTCCGCCACACGCCCCTCCTTTATAAGGCCCCCCATCGCTTGCCCCAGCCTTCCCGTTCACACGCATCCCATTTCTCTCTCAGCAATACAAAATTCCCAAACTGCCCGTGCTCTCCGCCATGGCGGACAATAACAGACAAGGAAGAAACAGCTCCGGCAACGGGAGCCAGCCAAGCCGGTTACAACGGCGAGCTCCGGCGTCAATTCAGATTAATAGAGTGACCGACTGGAACGTGGCTATACCTCTATTGTCGCCGTTGATTACGTCACCGACGTCGCCCGGGTCAACCAATCTAACGGCTGAGATTAAATCTAGATCGGGTGGTGGCGTAGAGGAGTCGGAGAAGAAGGAAAAGCTGCAGCCCGGCGTTAGTGCAGCGACGTCGTTCAAGAAATGGCAGCATCCGGCAGCTCCGTTTTGTTATGAGCCAGCTCCGTTAGTGCCGTTTGTTTGTACCGCGGGATTTGGCGTAGATAGATAGCAGAAATACACATAGTAGATGGAGTTTAGCCTTTTCTTTGTTCATAAATATTTAACGGAGTTAAGAGTTACTACTTTCTATAGTGGGGATAAATGCAGGGGTGATTTTGCAACCATACTTTTTGTGGTGTTAACTGGACATAATAGTTTATACATCGTCTCTGATTTTTGTTGCCCCTTCTAAAATTGTGATTAGTTTTGGTTATTATTGAAGTTTCAGAAGATTGTTGTTTTTTTTTTTTACATCAATAGTGAAGAACTTTGATGTGCAACAATTAGTGTAATTATTGTGTTTTGCGTGTGTGGGTGATGTGGGGAGGGGAAAAACTCACTCAGGTACTTGAAGATGAGAAAACACAAATGCAGGTTTATACTAACTTTGAGGACTGTTTGGGATGAAAACAACAGCAGCAAACAAATACAGTAAGTAATTCCAACACTTTAATTACCAACCAAGTTCAATACAAATTTTTCCCAAGAAACTGAAAATTGGGATGAGGATGATATGCAGAGGAGTGAAGACCATACACAGGCCTAGAATGCTGTCTGACCGAATGAACTCTTCTTTCCTTCCCATTTTCATCAAACCGCAAGTTGTTTGTCGGGTGGCCGCCGGTCTACTGTTTCCTGCTTTGTTCGGCCGCCCATTCTGCAATTCAACACAGGAATTGCATTTGGTTGTGATTAATTAATTTATTTTAACCTATATATTTTTCAAAATCGAAAGTCTTAATAGGGTAGTTTGTCAGGAAAGAAAATAACATATAAAAAGGAGGAGAAAGAAAGAAGCAACACTACTGATTAGTAGGAATGGCAATTTGGCAACAGGACGGTTTGAAAATTGACCTGTAGGAATGGCAACCAATACACGCATTGACATGTAGGAGTAGCCATGCTTGGATTGCTTGTTTCCGTCGAAAAATATAATTGAGTTTGTTTGGATAGTGTATTATTTGAAATATTATTTGGAATAATTACTGTAACACTTTTTGTGATGTGATGTATGTGAGATAAAAAGGTGGTTTGAAATATAAAAAGGTGTGTTGGAAAATGTATCTATGATGCAAGCGAAATATTATTTGGCCAAATTGGGGTATCCAAACACTTTGTCATGCTTGGATTGCTTGTTTCCGTCGGAAAATATTGTCGTTTTTCGTGATCACATTTTCCTATCACCTTTTTCCCTCACATATATCAAATCGCTACAGTAATTTTTTCATGAAAAATGATGGAAAATGCAATCCAAACACAACCGAAAAGCTTCCGGAAAGAAATGCAGGCATGGTTTGAAAATTACCTTTATTTGAACATCTCACATTTTTACTTGAGAATCCAAGCTAATATATATATATATATAACTATCAGATCTTATCTCTTAATCACATGTAAAAACATATGAACTCAGATAAAGCTCGAAATATTTTGCAGTTCTACTTTTTTCGAGAAACTGCAATCGAACTGAAAAAATTTTGCACCCTGCATTGGTATCATCAAAGGAGAAAGGCTAAACCCAGTGACCTGTGCAAAACCAAGCACCGAAAGTTTTGAGTTGAATCATTAGTAGTGTCCAGTGTAATTAAACCCGCAGGGGTATATATATGCTACTTCTTCCGTCTCATTGAAAGTGTCGTACTTTTTATTTTTGGATGTCTCAAAACATTAGTTAGTTACGTTAGAAATATCAAATCACCTTTTAATCTCTCTTTTCAATATAACCCTTCTTTCTAATCATATATATGTTACCATTTAAATTTAAAATTTGAATTTGTAAGGATAAAATTGAAAAGAGAAACACAAACATCACAATCAAATCACTATTTTTAAAAAGTTGAACTCCCCAAACATGATTATATGATTGGGGGACGGAGGGAGTATATTATATGAGCTGGTGTAATTAAGCCAGCGTAATAATAATATTCATTACTATATTTTATGTATAATTTTTTATCTTTTATTTATTTATGTAGGGATGGGTTGGGTGACGCTCTATTTAAGAACAGGTGGAAGAAAATCTTCCCCGCCCCGTCACTCTTACTACAGGCACCCGCTCTAATTGCCATCTCTATTAATTAGGATGAGGGAGACTAAAGCCTTGCTGGAGCTGCTCAAACTTACATTCAATTTTAGTTGGTCTAAATTCAAGTCAATAGATTCCGGAAAACTGTTGTGTTGAAGCTTAAATTATATTCTGATTCATATATTCAATTGTTCGTTCGCTGCTACAAGCCTTAAGACGTGAATTTCCAATAATTCAATCGAAAATTTTATGTTGTTAGGCCTTCTATTGAGTCTGTCTCTATAATTTTCTTATATTTTATACGGCAGTCTTAGTAACCTTGAAGAAATGGTTAAAACTGGTACCGCCACTTGAAGAAACATTTTTCTGGTATCTACATTTTTCTGGTATCTGAATTTCCTTTGTAAAAAAATTACTGTAACGATTTGATATATGTGAAGTAAAAAGATGTTTGGAATATATATCTACGGAAAACACGTTACAATTTTTCTTTGGAAAATTGCAATCCAAACGCAAGAAGGCAACCTAGCTATCACCTCTGCATATCACAATCAGCTTTGTTTGCAGGTTAATCTCGCTCAGGAGTGAGACTAAACCACAAAATTATCCAACCACAATAAAAAAAAAAACATTATCCTACACCATTACTGTCCTGCACATCCACAGATACAGAAACCAACAGAAGAAGAAAACGACATCCATTTTCTTCTGCCACTGATCCTACTTTATCAGTGGGAAGTGAGAAGTTTCTTGTAACCTTTATTTGGGACAGGGCACAATGCTGATTCATATGGTTTGTCTCTGGTTCATGGGATGATGGTTTTGTTAGATTTGCAGGGATGATTCCTAGTAATAGTTGTACAATTTGACCTTATCTGTTCCACAAAGATTGTTACCCTTGATTTCTTTTTTCTTTGGCCAACAGTTGAAATTTACGTTCTCTTTAGAAGAATTTTAAGTTTGCATTCATTGTTGTAGGAAATTTTAATTATATTCAATTACTTTTGCATAAACTATATCCAAATTAATGTGAAACATCAATGAACGATACATTGTTCAACACAATGGCCTTATTTGGGATTGTTTTAGATTTTACAAAATCTGATTATAGAAACTAATTATTAACATAATCAAAATTAACAAAAACTACTAGATCTTTAACTGATTATAGATTTTAGCTTTTTAATCATTAGAAAATCTATAATCAGAATACAAAACCAATTGAGAATATCACAAAAAACTGATTATCCAAAATCAAAATCTATAATCAGTTAAAATAATCAATTTAGAGTAAATCCAATATGAAAGATCCATACTTATTGAGACAAAAGAGAAAAAAAGAGTTAAATTAGACAAACAAAAAGTAGCCCCATTATCCACCGGCAGAGCATGCCAACACCGCCCTTCCACACAAGTAACAATTGCACTGATATCAGACGTTTACCTCTTTTGCTGGTTTTGAATGGTCTAAGGCTAAAAAGCCAGTAAGAACAACTCATGCAAAACGTGTTTTGCCTGTAAAGAAAATCTTGATAGCACAACAATGTTGAACGCCGTAATCTGTCATGCACTATCTTCAAAGGAAGTTCAGAAAACTGAGACTCTGGGCTCTTTAAAACTTTCTCAGAACAGATAAAGTTGTTTGGTAGGATTCACATGGCTGTTTTCTGGCTACAACGACTCGTGATCTTCTGGTTCTAATTTTATAATATGCTTTTGTGGATTATGTAGCCCAAATAGTCCAATATCTATCACGGTACAATTCATGGATGCATTGGTGCAAAGAATATTGTATTTTGCCTCTGCAACAGTCCACATGGACAACGATCTACGTAAACCCTGTTTTATATGTTGTGTCTCGTCTCACACGTAAAATCTACATGAAACCCTTTTTTCTTTTTCTTTTTTTGGAGATGCAATCCATATATATAGACCTGATCTATATAAGCATAATCCCAGAAGCAACCTTACCTGGGTTTGAGTTTGGTAACTGAGTGTATTCATGGGAAAGTTTGCAGAAATGTTAAAGATTGTTGTTGACTCACAAAAGCAATTTGGGAAGGTCATGGCCTCACGGGTCAAACAATCTTTGAATGATGAATTTGACACAAAACTTGAGTTGGATGTTGCAGTTTTAATGCCAACAGAAATTTAATGCCTATACAACGTAAAAAAAAAAAAAAACTTTTTTGTTTGCTTCCCATCTTGTGCTCCGAGAATAAAATGGAAAAAAGAAAAGGAAAAAACTGCATTAAGATTACCAAACAAGGCTAAATTTCAAGCCCAAGCAAAAAAATGGATAATTAAGATTTGTTGTCCCAACCAGATTAATTAAAATTATCTATCTGATTAATGGTTTTTCAAGTTGACACGAATGGTGTTGAATCTCTAAAATAATACACTTATCTAGCATTTGGAAGTTCCTCCACATTGTACTTCAAGATAATACAACTATTCTTTTCCTTACATGACTAGTAAATAAAATGATGTACCTCTCTTATTTATTTATTTTTGTAAGTGGGAGGTCTTGAACTCCTATTTACAATCCCTTCTACCAAAAATGACATACCTCTTTTTTTTTTATGAAACAAAAGTCGATATTATTAATAAACTAGGTTAAAATTCTTCAACACGTATGATTTGCTTGACAAAGATAGTTGCACTAATGGACAACATACATAAAACATATCATAGATATATTTGATCTAGAAAATCATTAGATTTAACAGATACAAAATATAAAAAATTACATTGTAAATTACGAACCGTCACATCTAACCAAGTTTGTGCATGCCTATTCTCTCAATCTTCTATCCAACTAGTTCAAGTTTAAAACTGATGTTGAGATTTGATGAAAAGATTCAAGAAATATATGGATCTAAAAAAAAAATTCTTAGATCTGAGTAAAAATAACAAAAAATTAAACAATACTCACATTAGGATATTCTAAAAAAGAAGAAAACTCTCACTAATAAATACTAAGAGATTAAAAACGCTCATTGGAATGCGCTAAGAGAGACTTTATCAAACGTAAAACAAAAGCAACAGATGAAGAGCAAGGAAGACCTTGATTTGAAGTCAAGATTCCCTCCTATGAAAGAACAATAGTGGAGAGAAGGTTGATAGTAAAAAGAAGGTAAAATATGACATACTTCTTGTTTAAGCCAATCATATACTACTGTTTACATCACATCGTTCATTTACTTCAATCATTTTATATGCTCGGCCTTTTCTGGTGTTTGTGAACCATACAATGTTTTACCTTAAAGTCATACACTGTATTGTTCATATAATATGAAGACTAACGAATTTTGTTTTCAACAAAAGCTCGTGTATAAGATGGAAGTTATTCGAAGAGAAAATTTTGTAGCAATTCGTCTTCTTTGGCCCACCAGAAGTTGGAACGGCCTCATAGACATAGCCCTAAGACAATTATTTGGCGGTTCACCCCAACAAATTTGGGCTTCATAGGTATAGCCATGACATCACTATGGCAGGTACTTTGTCGATTTAAACAAAAAAATGTTAGAGGTGAAATAAAATGGGTTAATACCACTTTGTCCCCCCAAACTTTGGACGATTACCCACTTCAGTCCCTAAACTTCAAAATGGGACACTTAAATCCCTAAACTTATAAATACCTCCCACTTGAGGAAAATTGTTAACAAATTCTGAATGCTGTTGGTGGTCGAAGTGTCCCATTTTATAAGGGTTTAGGGATTTAAGTGTCCCATTTTATAAGTTTAGGGACTTAAGTGGGAGGTATTTATAAGTTTAGGGACTTAAGTGTCCCATTTTGAAGTTTAGGGACTGAAGTGGCTAATCGTCCAAAGTTTGGGGGGACAAAGTGGAATTAACCCGAAATAAAATAGTACAAAAATTGTTGTGACCATTCTTCCAACTGGATTGAGTAATTATCCAATTGTTAGAAAATGGTGTAGTCTATGATTCCGACATGTTTAATTTAAAATTGGACTAATGAAACTGAATATAGGACAAAATTTCTGATTATTGACCACATTTGTTGTAGTAATATTCACATTTGTTTTTTTTTTTTTTTGTACATATATCATACTGTGTATTGTAGAATACAATACTCTTGACCTTTTCTAAACTGAAGTCTAGAAATTCGGTTTTTATAAACCTAATCCCAGAAGAAACCTCAAAAGCCGGCAACTCTTGAGGTCCTTCCAGGGACTTATAAACCAAACCCAATACTCGATCCCTTCAAAACCTTCATCCCAATTCCCAACCAACATGCCTTCGTGAGGTACAAAAGAGAGAAGAACCCAGGGTAAATTGTTTTATTATTTTTTGCTTAAAAAAAAAAAGTGTTTTTCTTTTAAATTTTTTTCTGTCGTTTAAAAGTTCAAGATTTCATGCAACATGTGTCTCTCCTCAACAACAGGCCCGGGTTGGTCTAAAAATTTCAAGGCTCTCAGTCCTGGATCAACTAGAAATTAGAAATAATCATCAACATAAATTGTATCGACCTTAGCAACATGGCTTTCCAAGCTCCAGTTGTCTCCTTTGATTATTTGCGTTGTATAATTAGCGTTAGTTGGGCTTAAAACATCTGCCCTATCATCAGTAGCGTAAGATGGTTATCTCTATGTATCATTGGATCTTCGAGTACTAGCCTCTTTCTAATCAACTATCTCTAGAGTAGTTGGCCTTCATATGTCTTGTGGGATGGGAGATCAAGGTTCAAACCTCTTATCTTCCATCAAAGTTGTCACTTGATATGCTTTCTCTTAAATTCATATGAGTGCGTAATACATCGGTATGGTACGATGATGGTATAGTTCAATCTCCGTTGATTTCTCGTGATCCTGTTGGATCATCTCTTAGAATAAGTTAGAATAGAGGTATGAGTAGCTTTTAGACTGACCCGAAAAAAGGGACCAGTCTCCTTCCATTTCTTGGCCACGTGCATGATTCAAGCACGACAAGACCTGTGTTTAAACAAATGGTTATCAAATTGTCAGTGACGGATCAATTTGTGCATTTAATCGATCGATGAATCATCAAAGCCTAGCCTTCTCTCTCTCTCTCTCTCTTTGAACTTTGAAGTTCAGCAATCAACATCCCTGTTCACATTTCTTCGAAACTGAATCAAGCGTTTGATTTTTTCTAGCTTAACCAGCTCTTGCAGGCCACAGCTTAAGAGCGGAACAAAATGGTTGTCGCAGGCGGCAGAGAAGTTGAATCACATGCCTTCCCCAGTGATGATCGCGAAAGGGAATTGAAAGCCTTTGATGATTCCAAAGCCGGCGTCAAGGGACTATTCGACGCAGGAGTTACTAAGGTTCCTCGTATGTTTGTCCATGAGCACCACATTCCTGTAGTGAAATCCGGCAGTAGCAGTAAGCTTGATTATCGCGTTCCTGTGATTGACATGAGAGGTACTAACCATTCCGAGATTGTTAATCAGGTACGCCATGCATCTGAAAACTGGGGATTCTTTCAGGTAATCAATCATGGAATACCAGAAGTTACACTAGGCAATATGCTGGAAGGGGTGCGCTTCTTTCACGAACAAGAAGCTGAGGCAAAAAGGAAATACTATAGCCGGGATCTGGCCAAAAAAGTTGTGTATCACAGCAACATTGATTTGTATTATTCAAAGGCAGCTGTATGGAAAGATACCATTACTTTCAAAATGGTTCCTTGTCCACCAGAACCTGAAGAAATTCCCTTGGTTTGCAGGTTTGCATCTCTTGCTCCGTTTGTTTTCTTTAGTACTATAAAACATTTGAGAGTCAGAGTGCTTTTAAGAGTGCGTCTGATTAAACTGTGATTAAACTGAAATCTGAAATCTAAAGTCTGAATTCATTAAATTATTGAATTATTAAATATTACATCTAATACATTTAAGAGCATATCACATTCAGTGATAAGTGAATGGTTTATCACTGAATTTTGGAAGCAAGTTTTATCTAGAAAATTTAGTGTCACTTAATTAATTCAGATGTTTAATTTTTGGTTATCAAACGGTCTGAATATGTTAAGATATAAATTTATTAAATTTAAGTGTTAAACTGAGTTATCAAACAGGACCTCAACCTATCACAACACTAGGAAAGTAGCAAGTTAGAGGTGTGATTGTAAAAATTACAAACAGTTCTCAACCTCTCAATTCTCCCAAACCTAATTAAGGTATTCCATTTCCTTTATCCTTAAATTGTACTTACATCCCACCTCTACTTTTAGACACTCTTGTGATCTTCTAAAGTTTTAGGTGATGCTACGAACTTTTAGTCATTGGGACAAGAGGAATCAAGGGTTATGTACTAAATTTCACTTGGCCATTACAGATATTGAAGTCCAATCTATTTGCAGATCAAAGCTACAAACAAATATTCATAACATTTACTTAAACTTGTACACTTGAGGAATCTTACTAGCACTTGATCAATATGTGCTCTAGAGATAGACAAATGTATAGATATACAACATGTATGCTTTTCATTACGTGTATCCCAGATCTTTGACTTCTTTGAAGCTTTAACTATACTTGTTTATGCTGCAGGGATGCATCAATTGAATACTCGAAATGCGCGATGGAATTGGCCCTTATCCTGTTACGGTTGGTCTCAGAGGCTGCAGGACTCGATGCTACGCTTCTTGAAAACATTGGCTGTGCTGATGGACTTGTGGTGAAGGGGCATTACTATCCACCTTGTCCTGAACCAGAACTGACTTTTGGTACTGCTGATCATACAGATAATGATTTTCTGACCATAATCCTTCAAGATGAACTTGGCGGCCTTCAAGTTTTACATAAAGATGAATGGGTTGATGTCTCTCCTTTGCCCGGTGCCTTAGTAATTAACCTGGGAGACATGCTTCAGGCAAGTTTTGCTTTCATAATTACTCCATAATATAGCTCAGTATTTGGAGAAATTACACAAAAATTTTGAAAAAAAAAAACTGGTACCTTCTTGATGCAGATTGTGACAAATGATAAATTCAAAAGTGTTCGTCATAGAGTACTCGCTAATAAGATCGGACCTAGAATTTCGGTGGCAAGTTTCCTCAGGCCACAATACGGTGAAGGGTATGTTTCGCGACCATATGGACCTGTCAAGGAGCTATTGTCAGAAGAAAACCCTCCAGTCTACAGGGAGACTACCATTGAAGAGTATACAAAATGCTTCCTAATGAAAGCCATGGATGGAAATGCTGCATTATCACATTTCAGGTCATGAAAGAAAGTTAAAACTGGGTTGATTGAGGTATTATTCCTTAGACTAAATAGGTCTCGGATTGAAGTCTGATTAACATTCAGGTAGGATTTTGCAAAAGAAGATGTTCAAAATTTTAGTCTCAAAGCAAAATATTTTGGAATTTTAATGTTGTCTTTATTGATTTTTAAGATCTATTGTGTAAATTGATTTTCAAATCTATTTAAATTTATTGCATATTTAATATATTTTTAGCCAAAAGTATATTATTCATCCAAAAAAAAAAAAAACTTTTAGGAAATTAAAAAGGCTACCCACCTAGAATGTCACTAATGGAGGGGATAGTTTAGGCCCAATTACGACAAGAATTAAAAAGCAAGGACTACTACACATTCATATTCATATTCATGCAAGCTCTCAATTGTTTGAACATTGAAATTGAGCTCGTTGTACATCACAAATTGATCACACACATTGATGCTATGATTATATATCTCAATTATGGCCATCCTAACCATACACGAATAAAAACATATTGGGCAAACTGAAAAAATGAACAGATGCAATTCGTCTGCTTTAGATTTTTGTAAAATTTAATTATAAAGAATAATCAGAATTAGTAAAAGTTATTCTTTGATTAATTAAATATTTTATTTTTTTTGGATATTAAAAATTTTTTAATTTGAATACACAAGTAAACTAAAATATTATCAAAATTAGTTATTTAAAATCAGAATCTATAATCAAATAAAATAATCAATCGACAGCAAGCTAGAAATTCAATTGAGAACTATATGAGGTCCATGAGCACATATCGAATGGTGTCTTTGCACCTAGCCCTCGAAACCAAATCATGTCCATGATCAGATGGGCTCTGACGATTGGGTGAATTGTGAGTAACATTTGGTCCACACTGCGTGTTTGGGATGTTTAGGATTTAGATTTGGGTCAGGCTGTTTGGGTCTTTGATAGGGCTCATCATAACTTCTCTTGCAGAGGTGACTCTGTTGCAACTGCACCAAATTAATGACAGCACAGGATAATTGTCTGAAAATTGTGTGTTTGGATAGGAGATTATTTGAAATAATATTTTGGATCAGCGCTGTATTATTTTTTATGATATGATATATGTGAAATAAAAAATAATTGAAAATATAAAAAAAGTGGTTATAAAATGTGTTTATGATGTAATTAAATAATATTTTGCAAATAATCTCTTGTCCAAACAAATAAAATCATATTTTTCTTTGTATTCTAAATTGCATCACCCCTTAACAGCTTGATAAAATTATGAGATTCGTTTACAATAAACTTAACGACATGGGCTGCATCAGATAGAAGGGAATAGAAAAAACGTGTAAAAGAATAAAAAGTTGTGTCAGTTTTTGATCTTGCCAACTTACACAATAGTCTCATACTTGTTTTGGTACCCTTGTTTGATCACTTTTTTGTTTAATTTGTTGTTTGGTTTTAATAATGTCAATGAAGAAGATATGTCCCCTGGCACAGCTTTACAACTACTCCCCCCCCCCCCCCCCCCCCAGTTAAATAATTGAGGTTGTTTTGCTGTAGACTTTGTAAGATAATCAAGAAGGAAGAGGGTTGAGTTCAGCAGTAAAGTAGAAGGGATTGTACGCAGAAACTCCTGAGTTCAAAACCTCCTGCTTAAAAAATAAAAAGAAAGCTGATCAAAAGTTTGTATTTGAAAGCTCCTTTTGATAATTACTCGACCATGCATGCGTAATGGAGGGCTTACCAGTCCGGTAGCTGAGAGAAATAGCTACAGGCGTAGTGGCCATCATATTAGAGTTTAGACAGCAACCAACAGTAGGTGAAAGCAATTTTCTGATTTAGGTCAGCTGCCTGATAGGTTTTTTTGAAAGCTCTAGCCATGTTTTTGATATATATAATAAAATATGTGCATGAATTGGCTTCTTTCCGAAATATACACCATGGCATGCCATGTTTTTGCTGGAGTTTACATTCATGTGCTGGCCGACTTGAAATCTCTTTTCTCCAACTGGTCCGACCATATAGTGGTGGTCTTCAAAATGCTAAATAGTCTTGTTTTCTTCTGCTTTACATCATTTTCAGTAAGCCCTTTTACTTTATTTTGCATCTAGATAATACCTAAATACATCAGGTCTCATAATGTTTTGTGTACTGATTTTTGGCTTTTTTGATTCAGGAAAAGAAAAGATGGCAGGAACTTTATATATGCTGAGAGACCACTTCATAAAAGGTCTTAAAAGCAGCAGTTTAGGACTTTAGGCTGTTTTCAAGGGTTGGTGAAAGTAAGAAGCTAGTTATTGCAGCCTGAAGCATTGGGCACAACATGATGATTACCCAAGTCGAGCAAATAAACCAAAATAGCTTCCAACAAATTTGCCAAAATTATGAATGGAAGTCGCTTTATTATGATATAGTAGTGAGAAAATTTGATGGAACTTCACTTTTCTCCAATTTTGGTTCAACTCTAATTTTAAACGGAGGAAATCAATTAAATATGTTTTACAACTTGGTGTATGTATATATATATATATATGTGTGTATACATATATGACATATTCTGATTTAATGTTTCTTAGTTGTTCACGGCTAGCAATTCAAAATTGAAATGCTGCAAAAAGCTTTGCATGGGTTATTATACCTCCATGGAGGGAGTTTTTCTTTTAGAAAAGTTGGGGATTCCTAGAACCTTTTGCATTGATATTCATGGACAAGAATAGAAGCTTTGGTTTATATGATTACGAACGTGAATGATGCTGATTTGTTTTGTCATCGAATTAGTCCTATAGACACCAACTTAAGCGTCCAACATTTTTTTTTTTTATAAAAAAAATATCGTCATTTTATTAAATCTGCACTAATGGCAGAAATTATATCAATCATATATATACAGATATCAACCATACACAGATATAAACAGATTTGAAGAATAAATACTTTGTCACTATAGATCTGGAAAATCAGTAGAATATTACATTGAACCTCCAAAAAAAATTAAAAGATAAAAGTACTTATAGTCCCAAGATCATTTATGTATGTTTCCAACTATAACTATACTGCTTGCTTCTTCCCATATTTGCTAATAAACTGATTCAAATTCAGATGTTAAAGTGAAATCTGACAAGGTAAATTTAAGAAATCTCAAATCTGATAACGACAACCAAATTCAGAAAAAAAAAAAAATAGCTCTAATACAAGAAATAGACTAATTACAAAAACTCACATTAAAAATCCCTAGAAGAGAAGGAAACTCTCGTTAGAAATCTTTGAAAGATAAGAAACTCTCGTTATAAAATCTCTAGGAGAAGAGAAAACTTTTACGAGGAATCTTTTAGAGAGAAGAAACTCTCACTAAAAAAAATCAAACCCCACGAGGGATTTTATTGTAAACACGGAAAACAGAATAAAAAAGGACATGGGAACGTCCAACCTTTTAATTAAAAGACGTCTGCTAGTCTGAAAATCAATCAAACCGATCCCACAAAGTAAGCAATTATGCCCACATTTTCATATCCTTTAAGCTTACCATTATGAATTAGTATCTACTGACTAGTTGGTACATAGTGGTTAGCAAATTGATGACTTTTTGTATCAATCTTTAAGCTGTACAATTGGTCAAAAAGCAAGACATAAAACTTCAAAACACAAAAGAACAAAAGCAACCGTCCCTCCAATTCCATGCCGATATTGACATGGACAAGGCTTTGTAAATTAGCAGTATATATTTTAGAGCCATAAAAAGAACTCGTGGGGCAAGTCCAACAGCCTTCTCCTATATTCTCCACTCAGGATATGATTCCAACTGCAAACGTACATTCATATTTGGAGGGAAACCGCTTCAACCATCATCATGTTCTTCATTCCTTAGTACTTGTAAGTTTGTTACTACTATTTTGATTTGTAGAAGACGGCCATAATTCATTGACTGACATCACATACTTAGGTTCGCCCTATTTTTTTTTTCAATATAAAATCGGTCCAAGTAATCAAAAAATGTTTTATATTTTAACTATTAATCTTTGCATACCTTGAGCCTTTTTTTTTTTTTTTTTTTTTTTCTCTTGAGGCCCTCGTAGTTAGTTGCAATAGCTACAAGCTATACAAATGACATAAATCTACAATAAGGCGTCCACTAAATTAATGTAGATGCACTCGAGCATTAGTGAAGGGAAATACTACTTGAAAGATTGAATTGAAATAAGGTGCAGGCTTGACTATAGGTCAGCGGTTTAAATCTCTGCACCTGTAGCAAAATTTAAGAATGTGCAATAATGCTTCTCTTTGGTTTAGAGGTAGGATCATCTCCTTCTAATTTTGCCTTGACGCAACTGAGCTCTCTCCTAGTACAGATTGAGTTGAGTAGGAGTTGACAATTGATTAAAACAAAAAAGGAAATATATCACTCTACCACTACGAATCATAATTAAAGAAGAAAGATTTAAAATTCATTCAATACCATTTAATATGCATGGTGAAGTGAAACTTAGCAGATAGTCCACTCCACTATCCCTCTTTAATTGGTAGTTAGTCCTTCAATTAAGATGTTACCGATAGAAAATGGGATGCATTTTAATTAATTAAAATACAAAAACAAATTATGGAGAACTTTTTTGAGCATCATTTTCTGATTTTTAACACGACAATAATTTGAAGTTTAGGGAAGAAAAATTTTCTTCCAAACAAAGCAGGTTTCCCACTGTAGTGGATCGGAGCCGATATATTTACTAGCCTTCTTTGATCAGTGCAACTCCAACATTCCACTTTACTTTGACCCATGATCCAAAGAGAGTAGATGTTCTGACTCCAATCAATCAAGCTCTTCAGCAACAATTAATGAAACGTTAAAAGGAACTACTAGTCAAGACTGAATTGATTGGTTCCATTTGATTCTCTAAATTGTTCACTTTCCAGATTCCATTTTCTTAATTTATTGTTCTAAACATGTAGGATAAATACTGGTCAACATGCCTGGATACGAAAATGCATGTTCTGGGTCTATCTAAACACTTCTCATGATGTTTGATCCGAATCCACAGTAAAAGATAATTGGCTTAGGTGCCCTTGGTGTAGTGGATGGGTAGTTTCTTTTCGTCATCCTGTGTTTTGTCTTTGGATCTCTTGCTTGAGTGCATGGTTGGAAGAAAGATTTGTCTTTGTTATATAGAACAAAGTTACCAACTCCAACTTTGGTCACCTTTTGACAAAATCATCCCATAACTTAAAGTCTTGTTACCATCTATTCGTTGTTGGTTCCTCTTATTATATTTGAGTATCAAAACCAAAATCACATCCATAATTACTCTATACTTTTCAAGCTAAAATCTTGACAGTGATGTAAAGTCTTTCCTTCCATCTTCATCCTTTCACGTCTCGTTACTCCTCCTCAACATTCAAACATATAGCATTTTCCACGTTCTTTAGGAACAGCTTTTGGTTCTCTTCTTAGGAAATTTCACAAGAAATAAAAAGGGGGATGTATTCATCAACTTCTTAGCAACTCCAATCCAACTACGCATGGCCGTGGGATACCCGTTGGACTCTTTAACCTTGTTGATTGCGTGATGGAATTCCCCCTCTAAAAAAAAAAAATATCCTTCTCGAAGAAGATAAAATTGTGTACACATTTGACTTTGGAATTGGAACCAACCTTCTTCCAACTGTTGGACTTCTGATTGAATGTTTTTCAACCCCAAAAGAATAGAAGCACATCAGAATTTTCAACCCTCTTACCAACCAAATACTAGAGATTTCCAGCCTCTGAATGACCTTAAATTCGTCATATTTCATCATACATGTCTCTCTGCCTAGAATTCACCAAGAACATTTAAGACATCATTGCATAATGGTCTATACCAAGCGAATGTTAGGTTTCATTCACACTCATGGCCCCTAAATAGCTAAGAATTCACAATTAACACAAATTTGATTTTTAACATATAAACTACAAATTGAGAAAGAACCAACCAAACAAGGGTTTATCAAAAAGTCTATTTTTATTTTTTATTTTTATAAATATCATAATTTCATTAAAATTTGTACTAATGACAGAAGTTACGTAATTAAATATACACAAATATCAATTAAGTCTGTTTTTGTTTGACAAGTGAAAAATATCGAACAATTATTGTCAGTTATGGGTTGAAATTTGATATATAACTAACCTCCAACACCTAGAGATATAAGTCCTCAAATCCTGATTTTCTCACTATTTTTACAATGAGCACTTCTTTTTTTTTTTTTTGTCAAAATACAATGAACACTTCACTAAATCCAAATCTTGGTCACTTCCAAACAACATGGTATAGGCCAACCTATCAAGTCCCCTATTTAAAGTTCACCATGTGTTCATTAATGCATGCCCGAACAGCGTCCTGGTTCAAAATTTTTTATCCTGGTTAAAGTGTTGACCACTAGAATTTTGACCCTCACAAATGTGGTAAAACTTTGAACGCGAGAAGTTTGACCCTCACAAATGTGGTGAAACTTTGAAGGGAGATCCTTTAAAGAAAAAACTTTGAAAGGAGAATTTCGCAAGGAACACTAATCGCCCTTTAATTAAAGAGATTTGATTTGAGCCAACACTCAAAAACAGAAAAAAATCACAGTAAAGGAAAATCAGAAAGACAAACTCAAAAACAAAAACGAAAGGTGCAGACGTGATGTATGGGTACCCCATAAAACAACGCTTTGGCCTCCTTCAAACACTTCCAATTGCCTTTTCGAAAACATCATGACATATCCATGAAATTTACACCCAGAATCATATATAGACCGAAGCTTTGCTGAAAGCCAATCAATTCTTACTTCTTTTCCCTCCATTTTCTCCCACAGTTCCTTCTCTCTATTCATCAATCAATTGCACCTTCACCATGCTTGCAAGAATGCACTGTACTACTACTGAAGCCATGCCTATTGCTTCCTTATGAGCATTGTCCTCACTTTTCTAAGCACAAAATCATTGGCCCTTTTCAGCATTCTTGAATACAAGTTTGTTTTCTTCCTTATACCCCAACAAAATCCCAACTTTTTTTTTTCTCTGTGTTGCATTTTTTTCAAGCCCCAAGTAAAGGTGTGTCCATGAATTTGTTGTTTTTGGACATTTTGAAGCATCTGAATGTTGAGGGCTGCTGGTCAGATCTAAAAGACAAAAACTTGAGCTTGTAGATCTTATCCAGAAGAAGGATTGGTCGAGATGGTGGCGGAGCCTTGGTTAATAAAGATGGGAAATCAGGTAAGTGGCAGTTTCAAGAATTCTTTAGCTCTGGAAAATCCCAAAAAATCATCTTCTGGTAATAAAAAACAAGGCCAGCAAGAGAAGAAAATTATTGGGATTCTTTCATTCGAAGTTGCTAATGTGATGTCTAAGATTATTTATCTTCATAAATCTTTAGCTGATAGTGAAATTTTTAAGCTTAAAAATGAGATCTTGAATTCTGAAGGGATAAAGAAACTAGTTTCTGATGATGAAACAAGGCTTT